CAGCTTAGTCCTAGTCAACGTTTGACTAATCTTGATTCAGTCAAAATGGAAAGAAATCTGAGTACAGGTTCCAGACTCTGTCCTGTTGTGCCCTTAAGATGAACTCGCAGTGAATGTGAGCACTCTGCTTGCGGAAGGCCTCATATTTTGATTAGTCCTAGAAAGCGTGGATTCTTGTGGAGCGGCAGTGGCCCTGCCCATCAGGAACGGGTTCCCGGGTGTTCCGCTTGTGCATCTGGAAGGGCTCAGGCTTGTTTTCATGCTTTGCTGTTGCCCCATGAAATTCTTGAGTTTTGAACACGTGGCCCCACACTTTCATTTTTTACTGAGCCCCACAAATTCATTATGTAGCCAGTCCTGCTTCCCATCAATGGTTATAGGTTTCAGCTGCCTTTCAGGGACTGTGAAAGTAAATTCTCATATAATGAATTTTTGTCCTATACTCACACATCCCATGGAGGAAAACGCAGGGCAGGATCTTGCTTTGTCTCACCTACAAACTATGTGCATCTGCGGTAGATGCTTAACTCTTCAGAGCCTCTTTGTTCTCAGCTGTAAAATGGTCTGATAATATCGATTCTGGTCTCAGGGGGTCGTTGTAAGGATCAAGTGAGGCAATGTCAGTGAAAACATGCATGTGGCAAATGGTGAAACTCTCACAGAAACGCCACGCATTCTTTCCTTAGGTGGGCAGGTCAGACACCAAAGGGAAGATTCCAAGAGGCCTCTGAGGAGTCTGAGCTGACCTCATTACTATTCTGCTGCTCCTCAAATCAGTCTCACAGTGCAGCCCGAGCCGTTTCCAAAATCAAAGCTATGCTCATGTCACTGCCCTGCTTAAAACCCTTCAATGGGCCCTCTTTGCCCTTAGGGATGGGGCGGGGGTCTTGTAACCCTGACTGTGGACCCTGAAATATAAGTCTCTCTTAGATTAAAAGAGGCTCCAAATTTTAAAAATGCCCGGAATAAATGGTATATAAAAGCAACACATAGTTGGTGTCTTCTTTTTTTTTTTTTTTGAGATGGAGTCTGGCTCTGTCGCCCGGACTGGAGTGCAGTGCCTTGATCTCAGCTCACTGCAAGCTCCGCCTCCCAGGTTTACACCATTCTCCTGCCTCAGCCTCCCGAGTAGCTGGGACTACAGGCGCCCGCCACCTCACCCGGCTAGTTTTTGTTTTTGTATTTTTTAATAGAGATGGG